ATGTTAGAAACATATTGAATGAAACTATGTTTGATGATTGTGCAGCAACCACAAAAATGAATAGTGATGAAAGTAAAGGGGATTATGCTATTTGTAATAGCAAGCTAGATAACAAATGCTTTATAGCATGGAGTCCTTTAGAAGAAAACAAGTGCTTATTTAAACATAGATATGTTTCATGCAGTAGATCGGTCCCACGTAAAAGCAAACGTTTTATTCGATATAAAATAAATAGATCTTTAAATTTTGATGCAACTGTTCATAATTCTAGTTCAGAGAACAGTTCTTTCGAAGAAAACAAACATCTAACACGGTCTGCCAAAATAATGAGAGCTTTAGATTTTAATAGCAGTCCTGCTTATTATGGAAAAACAAAAATAAAGAAATCGTTAAATTTCAATTTAACTCCTAGCCCAAAGAGGTTTACACCTGTAAGGAAAAGTATACGAAAATCTTTAAGTTTGAACTTCAATTCTCTTTTGTCTGTTCCTAACAAATTTTTAAACTATGATGACAACCCAAGTGATTCTGCGAATAGTAGTTTAATATTTTCATCTTCTGAATCTATTGATGAAAATCAGAATGAAACACCATTACAACAAGATACAAAGGAACATGAAATGCTACATTATTCTACACCTAATGCAAAATTAAGCAGGAAATCACAATGTTCAGCTAGTTTTAGACCATTATTACGTAGTCGACTGAAAGAAACTATTGATAATATTGTGTATGTGACAGCAACACCTACTTCACAATCATTAAAACGCATTAAAAACAGGTCAAAATGTACAAACGATATAGGAATGAATACTTCGAGAAACTTGTTTTACGAATTTTACGACAAAGACGACGATAGACCGTGCACACCTGAAAATGTAATTTGTATAATTCCGGAAAGTATGAGTGCTATTAAAAGAAGCCATAAGAAGGTAAGAGAAGAGTATAACTTTGATAAATTTCTTCTTTTTTAGTTAACATTCTTGAACCTTTGTACAATTATACATAAGAATTGAATAGGTACTTTTTACACATACATTGTTTATGTATTAGTTTAATGCATCTTCATTAATTTGTACATTATAATGTTGTAATACACAGGAAAGGTCGTCGAGATGGAGTGACCGTTGTGTAACACAATTTCCAAGTAGCTTTACAAACGACGAGGACGTACTTCAAAATAGAAAACATGTCGATCCATTGCAAGATTCTAAGTCGAATGTGAATCTGCATACTAATAAAAATTCGAACTGTAAAGAATTAGCGTTAAGTCGTTCTGAAGATGATATGTCAGACACTGGTTCACTCTTTGACTATACAGAAGAACAGGAAAATGTTGTAGAAGAATCTAAGAATATATTTGAAAATATCAAAGTAAAAACAGAAGAAAATGCAGAAAGTTTTTCGGAAATTGAAGATTTAAGTAAAAATGATTTACTTCAAGACAGTAACAGCACTAATGCAAATAATTTATCCAATCGAAATATCGATTTAATAGCTGATGATAAGAGATCGGTAACTCCAGAATTAGTGGCAGAAGTAGCATTAGAACTGCAAAAATCAGTTACCCCCGAGAATCATATAAATATTTTAGAAAGAATTGCTAAGGATTCTATAAAAAACTCTCATAAAAAACTTAAAGATACTAACAAAAGGAGATTATTCAGTCCAAAAGTTCTACAAGGTAAACTTGAAGCTGCGGAAGAACAAGGGGGTACAAGATGTTGGCAAAATTTTGAACAGCACGAAGATATACAAGATAATAAAATACCCGTAGAGCAGAATTATCTTGACGTATTAAGAGGGGAACGTTCGTGTACCCCTGAGAAGGTAAATTCTAGCAGACTTTTACTGACGCAATTTAGTTCTGTTAAAAAATCTCATAAAAAAGACAAACATAACAAAATATTGTCTGGGTTTTTAAAACGACAGGAATATTTTAATAAAGATATGGAATTGGTAAAAATTTGCAAACATAAAGGATTTAATAGTGATTATACATCCGAATGTAAAGGCAGTGCAGAAGATTTTTCTTCGGATTTAGATGTCAGTACAAATATTGAAGACTCTGCCTTCTCGGTGGTACACGTTGACGCGAATACGTCTTTGGATAAATTATCTCCAAGTAAAAGGAAGAAATCGCTGGATATATCGGCAGATTATGAAACAAGCGTATCATGCAATTCTGAATTAGAAGAGTGCGATACATCGAAGGAGGAATTTAAAATTTTCACGCCTCTAAAAAGGAAAAGATCTCTAATTGCATCTGCTGCTGCTAAAGAGCATTTGAATTTTTACGGCATACCATCTGTGAAAATTGAACTTGCAGAAAATGTTGTTGCGGATATTAGTTTATCCCGGTGCTTGACACCTGTACCAAACTTTCAGAGCAATTATGTACAAACAGACGGAAATAATATTATAAAGGTGATAAAAGCTAACAATGACAACAACGATAGCGATGATAACAACGGAGGAGAAACCCATGATTATGGTTCTAATGATACAACGGGCAGGTCAACACCAAGAAATATGTCAACTACGGAATTATACGTTAATTTGGATTCAATTAAAAAGTCGCATAAAAAGAATAAACGTGGGAATAGTTCGCGAAAAGGTTTGAATTTGTTCAGGAATAATTTTTGCACGGAAGAAGAAAACGAAATGTCGACAGAATGCACCGAAAGTGCTATGCATAGTGCATCGGAGCTTTCAAACAACGATATAACGAGTAAATCTATCAACGATAAATCAATCGATTACGATAGTACAGACGATTCAACTAGTCTTGTTGTTATTGACAATGAGAAGTGTGCGAGTACTAGCATGGAAAATGAATTGTTGAATACGACTCCACCGAATTGTTTGAAAACGAAAAGCTATATCAGACTGATACAGGATACCTCGATTAAGCGATCACATAAAAAGGTTCGGGATCAAAAGAAGCAGGAAATAACGATCGAGACAGACGAATTATCGGACGATGGGTCCATATTTGGCGAAGAAGAAAAGTTAGATTGTACTCAAGATCTATCTACGCATCATGAATAATCATCTTGATGAAATGAATCGCGGTGAGTGTAAACGCATTAACTTACGTATATGTTCAACGCTTACATTAACGTATATGAAAACTTTTGAGAACTTGCCGGATACTTTCCTATAGCCAGAGCTAGTATATTTCAATAATTTTAAATTTCAATCTGCTTTATCTATTCTATTCATTATGAATGCCTTTAACTGTATAATATATATGTATATGATCTTTGTATACACATACATATATGAGTATGAATCTGCGAGTTACACTTAATGCGTACATCCGAAGTAACAATATCGTCGCGAGCTTTCTATACTTGGAATTATTTATTAGAAACGCTTGCATTACATGCAATGAGAGCCGTATACAGTGTGGGTAACCACTACCTGGTCGTAGAGCCAGGTTATATACGTCACATATAAAGTCGGTAAACTCAAATTGAATTATATGTATAACCTAACGATGTGCCTTAATGTTCAAATGTATCCTAACGTTCCCTTTATATGGCGTATATTTTTCTAAAAACATTAGGAACGACTGATTCGTAAAATAATAGGATAGGGAAATAAATATGATTTTCTCTCTATTATTGTTCATCGTTTTCTAATATTGTTCGAGTGTACATTTTGTTTATTCTCATGAAATCATTTATGCGATGCACCGATGCAGATAAAAATAACATGATATTTTGTACATTTTATAAATTGTCACATGTTGGTACCACCACCACCACCACCACCACCACCACACTTGATATCAACGACTGTGTGTAGTAAGAATAAAGCATGGTATGTACTGTGCAGAGCTGGTAAGTTGGCAGACGGAAGGAATGCGGATCTCATTCGTGTAGCAGCACATTTACACAGTCGGATCACACGTATTTTTATTATTGGCCGAAACGGTTACATCTACTAATCCATCGTGTGACGGTGAGCACACTCCCCTTGCTCCTGTACCGTCCCGACTGCCAACTTACCAGCTCTGTGCAGTACTGGATTTGTGTATTAAAATATTTTCGTTAGAAAAATCAGGA